CAAATGATGAACAATCTTGATAGAATGATAGAATTATTATATAGAATGGAATTATGGATGATAAACTGGTATAGAATACTATTTTGGATCTAATTTAGGTGCTGGGATGGACTCCAGTGTGTGAGAATTTGTGTAGATAAAAATTTGGGATTTTTGGTATGCAGACTGGTCATACGCGTATGAGGGAGGCCATATGCATATGAGGGACACCCCCATAGGTCGTACGCGTATGGTACGCACCTTGTCCCAGGGCCAGCACGACCCTCTGCCCAAGCGTGTAAGTTACACGTAAGAGAGGCCAGGAAGTACGCGTATTAATTAGGCAAATACACGTATGGGGAGAATTAAAGGGGTTATGAAAGAGGAAATGACCTCTGGTCATACGCGTATGGCACAAGGCAATACGTGTATGGCATAGGAAGCTGAGAGGCCATACGCATAGGGTACGCAGGTCTAGGTGAGGGAGAGTGGCCATACGCGTATGGGGCAGGGCCATACGCGTATGGGTATAACTGTAGTAATTTTTCCGTTTTCGCGTGCGATGCAATTTCTCTTGATCCGTAAGACTAACATGATATAATTGAACATAGAGGTAACTAGTAACGACATTAAATAGGATAAAATATGGGATTTTTATGTGATGGTCTGTATGATACGTGTTTGATGATTGTGAGCCATGATTGTCGTATGTGAATAGTCTTGGGTTGTGGTGGTAATTCCAGAGGGAATTACGGTGAGTGTGTGGCTCATGTGTGATCATTGAGGATCGTGAATTATGCCTGAATAACTATTATATTGTGCATAATTTTGTGTCATGCATTCATGTCATGTGAGGTGGAGATGAGCTAGGTGGGAATCCATGATGGGTGCCTAGTCTAGTCCGAACTCCGTATGGGAGTCGAGTGGAGATAAGTTGTAGTTCAGAGGAACGTATACGACTTATCCGGATTCCGACAGGAATCGGGTTCTAGGGTGAACCATATGTGATTGTGATGGTACCGCATGCATTGTGTCCTTTCAGTTGAGTCGCATTGCATATGTATATGATTGAATGTGGGTTGATAATGTTGATTATTGATGTGGCACTTGTATGTGTGTTGTAATTGTATGATTGGTGTGATTTATGTGTTAACTACTCCTTAGCATGTGATTTTCACCATGCATTATTGAATGTAGTTCTCATCCTTTTTCTATTTGTCGTGTTTGTGCTCTTTGGTGAGTATAGATGATCAGGTACCTGAGTAGTGCTTGAAGTTTGTGTTGCTATTTGATCGAGTCTTAAGATTCTCTCTGATACGTAACACAGAAAGAATGGGGATTTCATTATGTCTTTTGTGAGATATTGGATCAAACTCCAGTATGAAACTAAGCATGAGGTCGAAGTCTGTACGCATGTTGCTGTCAGAGTAATGCGTGTTGTAGTCGAAGTTTGTTCTAACATGAATTAGTCAATATTGCTAGGTTCATTAACATGTTGAATTGGTCCTTGCTTGTAAGCTCAATTGTTTAAGTTAACTTGTACCTAAGTTAGCTTGTAATAGGTGATTGTTAAAAATCCCAATAGGTTAGTGTGTTAGTTGTCTTAAGCGTCGTTTACTTCACTTATATTGTTTGTTGTTTATCATCTTTATCCAAAGTTTAGTGTTTGCATCTAGTTGGTCATGACTCAAATGTTTTAAACTCAATTCACACACTTTTTGTTATATCTTTTCTTTATACAAACTGTCTTTGAGATTTTCCGAGTTAATCTCTTAAGTGAACTAAACTTATGGTTGTTTACTAAAAACACTAATAAACAAATTGGCACGTCCAATGGAACCCTCTTGTGTAGAAAAGTTCATTTTTTTTTTGCAGAAAAGTATCATTTTTTTTTGTCCAATTTTTTTCTTCATTCATGAAATGGTTTAAGTTGTCGAGTGTGTATGCGTCTGAGGAGTGGAAAAACTCTTCATGAAATGACATGTCCACCATATAAAAATCCCTCTCCAAAACAATGCTTCAAACTAAAAAAAAATCATGCTACCTTCGGTGACAAAATCTCCTCAATTCTAAAACCTGATAATTTATAAATTAGTTTAGACCGGGTTAATGTAAGACAATATCGGGTTGACCCGAAATATATGAAAAAAATTTAATGACTTAAGAAATCTATTATAATATTTTAAAAAATTCATTTAAATAAAAAATATGAATAAAATCATTAGTATGAATGAAAAAAATAAAGACATCTAAAGTTAATTTTTTAAAATAAAAAATATGATGTATTTTTATATATGTCATCACTCTTTTATTTTCTCTAAAATGTGATGTAAGAGAACTAAAGAAGTGTGAAAGTTGGGAAGATGTGTATCTAATATTTACTGAGTGCATATATATTAAGTTATGAGATGAGAAGTGAAAAAGTGTATTGAAAATTTGGAATAATCTAAATATATAAATAAATTAAATAAATAAATAATATCACATGTGTATTCATAATATTAGGACGGGTTGGGTAACCCGAACCCGTCCCAACTTGATACCTTATTCATTTTTAAACTGTTTTTTTTTTTCTTTCATTTTTTTTGCATGAGACAGGAAAAAAATTAACCCGAAACTGTTGGGTTGAGACAAATCTTCGAGTTGAATTCTGTTCATCCATATAAATTAATCTTTCAAGTTTGTAAAATAATTTAATTTCTCTATAAAATAGGAGAATTTCTCTCAAACAATAAAAATAAGAATGTACTTGATTTTATTTTACTAATTATATATTCTTTTTACATGTATAAGTATGTCATAGATGAAATAAATTACATATGAAAATAAAATGTTCTTCAATTGTATCGTTTAATTTTCCTATTTCATTCATTTAATATATTAATATATGTTTTTTATTTGTTTCTATTTTTCTTTTTATATTATTTTTATAGGTATATGCCATGATTTTTTTAGCAGGTATAAGCATTACTTTCCTTTTTAATTGTTTTATTTAATTTTTTATTCCATGACTTTGTTTGATTTTATTTGTTTACCTATATTTTTTTTTCATTTTGTTATTTTTATGCAAGTATAAGCATGTCATCCATGAAATAATTACACATGAAAAAATATGTTTTTCAACTGCATGCTGTTTAATTTTTCTATTTCATTCATTTAGTATAGTATTATATGTGTTCTTTTATTGTTTCTTTCTATTTTTCTACTTATTAAATTTTTACAAATATAATGCCATGATTTCTTTTGCAGGTATAAGTATTATTTTTCTATTTTAATTGTGTTGTTTAATTTTTTTTATTAGAAGTAGTTGATTTATTTTATGCAAACTCCTCAAGTCTTATTTTTTTTATAGTTAATTTGAAAATAATAAAATTATTTATTCTTCCATTTTAATTCAACAAAACTTACCCGTGCTATGCACGGGTGTAAACGTCTAGTACAATTAATATTCATAAAAAATTTATTTAAAAAAGTCATTCAATATTACAATATATTTTTTTAGACAATCCTTCGGTAATTTAGTTTTAAATCAAAAATGTTATAATGGTTATTATCTGGTTTTAAACTTAGAGAGAATAAATGGGCCGAATGTAACAAAAAAGCCCACACAACCTGGAATTTTTTTTGGGAGTCGGCATCAGGCATCAATCAATCCCTCAGTCACCCATACGGTCGCTCCTCTTTCTCCCGCTATCTCTGCTTCTCATTTCTCGTACGCACACCGTTTTTCTGCTTCTCCTCTGTAAGTTTTCTTTTGTTTTTTATGCATTCATTTGTTAGGTTTTCGTTTTCATCTTCCATGCTCACTGATTTCGTATGCTATTTCTCCCCTCTCATGTCTTGAATCAGCGGTAGATGATGAATTAGTTATATACCTAATTTATGAAATCAAGATAGATTGGTTTAACATCAATGCTCAAGTGTTGAACATGTTCATGAATTAAGCCTTAACGCGTTTTTGTTGCATCTCAGCGAAGTTGAGACTTGACACCTAAATTCACCTTTGTCTTCGTGTGGAATTTTTACTATGAAATATTGACTATAACAACGATATTTTACTTCAATAAGTAAATGTTAAATCATAATAGAGTTTAATTTTGATACAATGTCAATTCATCACAATAATTTCACAATAATTCTTACATGTGACTTTAGAAGTAGTTATGATTAAAGTCAAAAGGATGATCTCTGTGTATTTTCCATCTGCATTGCTTTTCTTTTATGTATTATAAACCACGATTACCGATAGCTCTAAATGTATGGTTCCAGTTATAATTAGTTACGATAGCAGTGGAACCATAAACCCATGAAAAATTCACCAGAAAACACATAAGATGCTTCTGGATTTGGTTTTACTTCATTTAATTTTCATCCATTTTTTCCACAACATTGTTTTTGGCTCTGCGCTTCAGGTTAACCATTTCTTCCCCAAATCAGAACAAATAAGATGCTTCTAGATTTGGTTTTACTTCATTTAATTTTCATCCATTTTTTCCACAACATTGTTTTTGGCTCTGCGCTTCAGGTTAACCATTTCTTCCACAAATCAGAACAAAGTGTTTTATTATCTTTCTAATGATTCCATTGCTTTTCTTTTATGTATTATAAACCACGATTACCCAAATCAGAACAAAGTGTTTTATTATCTTTCTAATGATTCCGTTGCATTGTATGTAAGTGTTTTATTATCTTTCTCAGTTTACTGAACTGAATCCTTTGTGCTGTATGTAAGTGTTTTATTATCATTCTCAGTTCACTGAATCCTTTTTGCAGCATGTACTCATAACACTAGAATTTGAATTCTTTGAAACATGCCTTTTCCGTCACTGCCACTGCCTGCTACGGCTACTGAACATGTTCCTCTTTTTGTTGTCTGTTCTTTTATTTTGTTTTTGCCTCTTTCATATTAAAACTTGTGTATATATTAAATTTGTTGGCTTACTTTGACAGCAGTGTTTTTGCAGGAGCATCTCTTTGCTTGTTGTATTTGTTGCTGATTTCAAAGTGTTTTAGCAAAAATCATGACATCAAAAAGGGAAAGGGCAACTGATGATAGGGTAGAGAAGGAAGGGCTTGATTTTGAATCAAAAAGAACAAGAGTGGATAAGGACTCTTCCCCCTCTCCTCCTCCTGTATCCATTGCAAATCCTCTTTCTGGGTTGGCTAATAACTATGCTGACATCGATGAGGAAGAAGATTATTATCAAAGGGATAAGGGTACTGTTAGCGACAATAGGAATGGTGTGTCTCAGCATAATGGGCATAAATATGAAGGGGATGATTATAGTGATGAAGAAGAAGATTCACAGGAACAACTATTTGGTGGAAGAAGTCGGCAGGTGGAGGTTCGGAAGGACTGTCCTTATCTGGACACTGTAAATAGACAGGTATTTTATTCATTTGGTCCATTGTAGATATGTGTTTTGCTGGTTTGTATATGCATGTACTTGACTTTTATATCATTTTTTGTGTAGGTTTTGGATTTTGACTTTGAGAAGTTCTGTTCTGTCTCTTTGTCAAATTTAAATGTCTATGCGTGTTTGGTTTGTGGCAAGTATTACCAAGGGAGAGGGAAAAAATCTCATGCCTATACGCATAGTCTGGAAGCTGGACACCATGTTTATATCAATCTCCAGACTGAAAAAGTATATTGTCTTCCCGATGGCTATGAAATTAATGATCCCTCACTAGACGACATTCGGCATGTCCTGAACCCAAGGTTCGTCCAATTTTCATTGGTTTTGTTTGCTGCACACGATTTTGCAAAAATGGTTTTGCTGGTGACTATTATATTTTTTATCTTTTGTCCAATGTATGTATAGTTGTATCTGCTATTGGCCCAGACAGTTTTGTCCCTTTGTACTACTTTCCCTGAAAAAATAAATAATTTGTATTATTCTTTTCAAAATTCAAGTTATGGACCTTCCAAAATAGAGTATTTCCACCCAGGGTTGTAGTTATGGTCGCTTGCCTATACAAAGTCCGTTAGAATATTGGATTTGAGGCTTTGGTTAATGGTTTGGACACACATTTTGAATAGCCGGGAAACTAAATTCGTAGTGGTGTTATGTGTAATATGATTTGCTCCATAATGGGCTGGGCAGAACCTTGGACAACTCCTTGGATTGAGTAGTTGAGGATCATCATTGATGTTTAGGCCACCATGGAATCCCATTTTAGATACTGAAAATTTCACGAGGAATAATTATTTTATGCCTGTTTCTTAAGTTGTCAGTAGTATTAATTTTTCTCTTAACTATATACATAGTTAATAACATTTGTTTTTATAGGTTATTGTCACTGCGTCAAATGTGTCATAATTTTTTGCTCAATGAATTCAGTTACCAACTTGGCTATGTTATGCATTTGATCTCTTTTAGTAGATCAGTTTTCCCCTTAATTCAGAGTTACATAGAAACTTTTAAAGCTCTACTGTTAAGTAAGTTGTTTTCTTAGGTTATTGTTTATGTTTGTTTATGTTGGCTTTTTCTAAAGATTAACTACTAGGATATTTCAATCTGCAGGTTTACTGCAAAAGATGTTGAACAACTTGACAAAAATAAGCAGTGGTCCAGGGCACTAGATGGTTCTAGTTACCTTCCGGGAATGGTAAATTTGTTCTTTCATATGGGAAATTTTTGCTTTTAGTTGACTTGTAGTTTCAGGTTTGATGCCTTATGGCTTATCTTTATCCATCATATGAAAAAATTTCAGGTTGGACTTAATAATATTAAGGAGACTGATTTTGTTAATGTAACAATTCAATCCTTAATGAGAATTACCCCGTTGAGGAATTTTTTTCTTATCCCTGAAAACTATCAACACTGCAAATCTCCACTTGTTCATCGATTTGGTGAACTCACTAGGAAGATCTGGCATGCACGAAACTTTAAAGGACAGGTTTGTTTCCGATGCTGTCATTGTGTGTGTGCGCGCGCGCGCGTGTGTGTATGTAACTTTTTTATGCTTTCTTTATGCATATCAACAGGTCAGTCCCCATGAATTTCTTCAAGCAGTGATGAAAGCTAGTAAAAAACGATTTCGAATTGGTGCGCAGTCTGACCCAGTTGAGTTCGTGTCATGGCTTCTTAATACGCTGCATGCTGATCTTAAAACTTCAAAGAAGAATACAAGCATAATTTACGAGTGTTTTCAGGTTCTTCTTTTCAAGCTAGTTTTTCTTTTATTGATATATTCTAGCTGGTTGCAACTAGTCACTTACACTGTGTTTTTTAAATTAAATTTACTGTTCTCGCAGGGTGAACTTGAGGTTGTTAAAGAGATTCCTAACAAAAGGATCGGTGATAGAAAAGAAAATATTGAGGACCAATTGGATGGCGCAGCTAAGCAATATGCATCCTTCAAAGAAACTTTAAAAATGCCATTTCTAATGTTAGGGTTGGACTTGCCGCCGCCTCCTCTTTTTAAGGATGTGATGGAGAAAAATATAATACCCCAGGTACTTCTTCACTAATTGTTATTTTGCTTGTTACATATAGACTTCACAGCGAGACCTGAACCCATGGATACACACTCGAACATTCCCCGATTTTGACTGGGAAAATTTGCTTTGACAGGGTTTGGGTTTTCCCCAATTTCCAAAGTTAGGGGCAGGGATGGGGTGTAATGACCTGCTCCCGAACCCCTCCCACTAATAAAAGTTACTATATTATTTTATTTTTATTTACATTTACTGATTCATATGGATGTTCTTTACTTATGTTAAAATTGAATTCCTTTTCAATAGACAATTGTATTTCAATATTATTTTATTATGTAGTTGTTCTAATTTAATTATAGTATTAATTAAAACAAGATTTTTCAATTTTATTTTTCTAAATATATTGGCGGGATGGGGATGGGGATGGATATCCATTTTCTAATACGGACGGGGGAGGAAAAACTTGCTCTCGCCCCGTTTTGAAGTATTATAGTCAATGTATTTTGGATTGAAGTGACCCAAAATTGAAGCTTGATTCTTGTTATTTTGTCTGTTATATCCAATGGATACATCATACATATATAAATTGGAATAGTTTGGATATGAAAATTGAAAACCAAGAAGGCTGTTGTAAAACCAAGATTGGTAACTTAATATCACTTTCAAGTTTCAAATCATTTAAAAAAACTGTGATATTTGCTTGACAAATTGAGTATCCACTGTCATGCTGCATCCTTTCTAGTTTCTAGTGAATTTTTCTCTTGATTTCTAACCATCTCTTACTTTTTTAATTTTCAAGTAAAGTTGATGTTTTTTTATGGTTTATTTTGCATGCTAGATGAATGCATCATGTCTGCTATTTACCATCTTTTCTATAAGCACTTTATATATATGTATAACAAGACACTTCATATGGATCTGCATAGCTCTTTGCTTCCCTTTAGACAATGAAGTTGTTAAATTACAACAACTTTATTTTATTGAAACCAAATGAAATAGAATTGAGCTTGAACATAGTCATCACTTATATGGTTTGTTTTGCTGTATTCATTTAAATTTTTGCAAATAAACGTCAATGTCAGTAATTTCTTTACCTATAGTCAGTGCTGATAAGGCTTGGTTTCTAGGTTCCACTTTTCAACATACTAAAGAAGTTTGACGGTGAGACTATCACCGAGGTGGTCCGTCCTCATATAGCAAGGATGCAATATCGTGTTACCAGACTGCCTAAGTATATGATTCTTCACATGCGGCGATTTACCAAGAACAATTTTTTTGTGGAAAAGAATCCTACTTTAGGTAAGAACTTATGTTGAAAAACTGTAATGTATTCAAGTTAAGTTAATATCAACCTACTTATTTCTAAGTTCACCCTAATTCAGTGAATGTTTGTTTCAGTCAACTTTCCTGTGAAGAACTTGGAGTTGAAGGATTACATTCCCTTGCCAACACCAAGAGAAAATGAGAAATTACGCACTAAATATGATTTGATTGCAAATATTGTTCATGATGGCAAACCAGGGGAAGGATCCTATAGGGCGTTTGTGCAACGAAAATCAGAAGAACTATGGTATTATTTTTTTTTTGATAGTATGAAAATGTATAAATCTGGTTAGGTGTTAAGAATACTCTATTTTTAACACTCACTCTTTTATTGGATGAAATTCCTTTTATTGTGTGAAATTCATGTGTATTTCACCATTTTAGAAATAGGTCCCTCATAAAGTGATGGGTTTAAAGTGGTGGAACCCACGTGATTTTACCCAATTAAGATAGTGGGTGTTTGAAAGAGTTTTAAAGTGAGTGTTCGAAGCACCCCTCGCATAACAATTTTAAGGTCTAACTCTTTGATTTTTCAGGTATGAGATGCAGGATTTGCACGTCTCAGAAACACTCCCTCACTTGGTTGCACTTTCAGAAACTTACATGCAAATATACGAACAGCAGCAGTGAAAGGCAGAGTTCAAATCCTTTTCTGAGAGCACTGCAACCTGGCAGCTTGTATTCTGAAGGATTTAGGATAATACAATTGGTTAATAGGCAGCAATTTAGATGCTTTTGGGGAAAATATAATGCGTGATCATTGTAGCTGAGTGGCTTATAACATTCAAATGTATCGCGTAGCCTTTAACTCTTGAATATTTTGTTGTACCTGATATGATTAGGTTGACGGGGTGATTTGTGGAATTTGAGCTTGAACATTGCTAAACACTTATAACACTTTTTGGTCGTTGAATATCTTCAGGTTACATGATGCATAATGTTTCTTTCAACCATCTATACAAGTTAATTAATTACACAAATTTTGTTAATAGACACTATGTAAAACTGCAGAAAAAAATTGATGTTATTGTCCTAGTGGATTATGTGTTTGTGTGTGTAGCCAGGATTTGTCTCGTGGCTTTTTATTATAGTAACTTACCTGTTTATTGATAAATTTGCAAATCAATCTAGCTATACTAATGATCTCAGTAAGAGTAACTTGTTATGCTAACTCTGCTATAGTTTTTCTGATAACTTTGTACTCACCAAGAGCATGGTAACAATATATCAAGCAATTACTACCTCTTTATTTTATTTTGGTTTATTCTGTTTTGCTCTGAACTGTAGAAGTATCTACATGTTATAAATTATAAGCAAGCATTCCGAGTTACACAAGTCAATAAAAAACAATTAGATTTTTAAAAAGAATAATAGAACAGATATTAATTCTCTCTAAATATTATGTTATATTTACCCCCAGATATACTATAAATTACGTTTTTACTTCCATTACAGTAACGTGTAAAATTTTGTAGATAAACCATTGATTCTTAAGGCGTTAGAGAATACATTGTTTGGGGAGAACAATCCCTCCAATTTTAAATCCTCAAATATTCACCAGAAAATCTTCCATATTTTGCAAACCAATTAACTCGATTATGCCGAAGGCCGAAAGAAAGAAATATAAAGAGATACAGAGGAGAGGAAGAGAGAGAAAAAGAGATTAATGCATATAGATTAAAAAAAAATAAGGATGTTATTATTTAAATATTTGATTTCTTAGTTTTTAAAAGGTTTGAAGTTGCATGTCTCTATTTTAATTAGGGGAAGTATTTATATTCAGTTATTTTATTGTCTATTTACGTTTCTTCTTTGATTTTATTCAGATTTGTTAAGTCTCTTTTATGATTGTACTTTTCAGAATAAAGTTTAAAAAGATTTGTTTTTAATATACATAAAACTTTGGTTAGATTTGATTTGATCATGATGTTCTTTGATCAATAGCATATGTTAGTGGAATGAAAACATTGTGATTTGGTTTAAGTTTGATTCAAAGGATTTTTTGGATCTCATAGACATGTGGACCTCATCTAAAATAATAGTACATTCATAGACATTTGGATCTCATAGACATTTGGACCTTATCTAAAATAATAGTACATTCATATGATAGTGGAATAAATCTTCCACCTTTGAGAATTTTTTTGGATCTCATAGACATTTGGACCTCATCTAAAATAATAGTACATTCATTATCAAAAAAAATGTCATCCTTGAAATTATTGAAGGATTTGGGTAATGAGGTTAACAAGAGTTGAATATTGTCCTCGTTGTCAATCTTCACCTCAATATTCTCAAGATCATTAATGATATTGTAAATTTATGTCAACTGTTTCACTATGAATTTGTTCTCTATCATTCGTAGTGAATAATAATTGTTATTTAAGATATAACTTGTGAGGAAAAGACTTCGTCATATTAAATGATCCAAGTTTTTCCCACATCAAAGTCACAATCTTCTCCCTAGAGACTTCCCTTAGAACTTTATACTCGAGGTACAAGATAATGACACTCTTGCCCTTTTCCACTATCTTGGTCTTCTTTGCTTGTGTTAGGCATACAAGCATCATCGTCTCATTTTTCAATGCTTCAATACACTTCTCTTGAGTTAAGTTACGTGCACCTTCACTTTCCACAATCCAAAATCATTGTCTCTAATAACTTTTCAATCTGCCATTTAGAATCCATAGTGTTCACTTGTAAACAAAATCCATTGCCCTGTGGTGGTGCCAATTGTTGTGAAAAAAAGGATAGAATAATTTAAAGCACTTCAAAAATTACTAAGAATTCAAACACGCCTAGGAATATGATGTGTGGGAACAAAAAATAATGACAAAAAATCCACAACAAGGAGTAAGAAGTTAAAAGACAAGAAACACAATAACTTGTTTACTCGGTTCGATCACAAATACTTTCAAACGTTGTTACAAAAAATTACAAATGAGTTACCAGAAAATAATCACCAAAGTTCCCAAGAACAAACCTTATTTTCTACCCCAAGTATTTGTCAATCTCTCCAACTATCTTTATATGAATCACACAAACTCAAGGAATTTAGAAGTGTTTTCCAATTCCCATAGATAGTTCCAAATGTTTATCGAATTCCAAAAACTCTAAGGAATTTCAATTCTTTCCATTCTAAATTTCCTAATAGGATTCTTAACATTTTTGTTTGTCTTCAATTGTAAATTTCTAAAGTTTATGAAGATAAGAATAATAAAGATACATATTCATAATTGATAAAACTCGATGGATAATTAACGAACTCATAATACAACTCATTAACGAATGGATCTACGAACCGAAACGATAAAGACAGATACATGTGAACCTATAAAACCAAACAAACTGCCAGTTGGAACCAACCTTTACTTGTAATATGGGATCTTTACAAGTTTTAGGACTATTATTCTCCAATGGTGGCAAAGCAGAAAAAGTCTCTAGTTTACTAGCCTTTTGGCCACTTCGCCAACTGTTGTTGTCGACGCTTTGTTCTTGGCGCTAGAATCTGTAACTTCAAAGAATGCTTTCTTATTTATGTGATGTCTATGCCATTGGATCCTTGTCATGGGATTTTTTCCCAAATAGTGTTGAGGGTCGTAAGAATATTTCTTAGACACATGGTAATTGGAGTGGTAAGAGGATCATGCGCGTATCTCAAACGTCTTCCACTTTTGTTGGTTAGCATTACGCCTACCCAGTGGTCGAACCCATTCTCCCTGAGGAACATCAGAAGGAGGAACATATGTCATTCGCCGATTTTCAAGCTTCTTAGAAAACTCATGTCGATTTTTATGAGGAACACCCCTCTCATCAGAAGTAAAATGAGGTTTTTTCTCACTCCATTTGATCTTCCTCGAATCTGGAGGTTTGACATAACATCACTTCATAATCTTTCAGCTTACATCGATTCGAAAAGTCAATAAGCTCTTCCTCAGCCCTTGGATACACTACCTTCATTAAACACATCGTTACACCTAGAACATAACATCACTTTAGAATCTTTCAGCTTGCATCGATTCAAAAAGTCAATAAGATCTTCCTCGACCCTTGGATACACTACCTTCATCTTTTCTTCGTACTCGTCCATAGCAACCTGTTCAACATCCATGTCAAGACCCTTAGTAGTCTCAACTATCAGGATTTCAATAGGCTTAGTAAAGTGTGCATCCATGACTTGAAGTGGGTTAGAGTCCATTTTTATTGGAGGCTTGGATCTACCTTAGTACTGTAATTTGTCTCCCTTTAAGGTACTCGACACCTAGTCCCTGAAAAACACACTGAGAAGTTTTATGACCCAAAAAATTTGATACTTACAAAAACTTCTCTTTTTCCTCTATTGTAATAGAGGGTTTTAGACCTTTTAGCACTATGAGTTACCCATCAGTAACTAATAAATCGAAAAAAATTTCACTTTTTGTTATGTCAAATGTATATGTCTTTGTAACGAACTTATCATTTTTATTAGGTTCGATAGGATTTTTCCCGTTTAAAGATTTTAGCAGTTTGCAAACATAAGGAGGTCCTGACTTTAATTCTACCACATTAACCTCACTCTCTTCGATATGGTCATACGCTATGTTAGGCTCATGATCATCATCTTCGTCTACTTCGACATAAGCGACTTTTTCTTTTTTATTATATTTGTTCGACCTAGCCTTCTCAGCTTTCAAATGCTCGACTTGTCAATCTCTGTTTGGCAATTGGGCCATGTCTCTTAAATACTGAGTATATAATTTTTCCTAATGGAATAACCTAACCCTCTTGTCTTCATCTCGACTAACTCGTGTTCGGACACTTGGATAAAACATCTTACTTTCAGCAACCTAAATCTATTGAGATAGTCCTTTACTAATTCGACGAAATTTCGCTTCACGCTAATATTTGATTGCCCCATATAGAATTGTTCACGAAATACCCTCTCTAGTTGATTTCAATTACATATGGAATGTTCAGGGAGTATGGTAAACCAGGTGAAAGCATTTTTGGTTAGAGAATTGGGGAAATATTTCATCGTTAGGCTCTCATTGTTTACAATGTCACCAGCCTCAGCCTGATACCTAGCAATATGTTCGATTGTGGACTCACTGGTGTCATCTGCAAACTTGGTGAACTTAGGAACTTTCCAACTTCTTAGAAGTTTAGTTTTCAGTACATAATCTGACAACGGAGAGACATAATTTAATATATGGAGGCCAACATTAAGTCTATTTTGGGCCAAGATTTGTTTGACCACATTGGTTATATTGTTTTGCCCCTCAAAATTATTTTGTTTGACATTCCTAACCACTTTGTCTGCGTCATGGTTTCTTTTCATCAAAACTAATCCAGGGCCATCTTGGCATGCGTTGCCTTCGACTACCTTGGGCACGGGCGGTTCGACAGACATAGCTTGCTCTGGAATCTAATTATTAGGCTTTGGTTGAACAAACACCCAGGAAGCACCAAAGAAATCAATAAATCCACTCATTTGGTGTGTCAATTGTTGATAACTAACATTGTGCATATTTGTTTAGTTAACATGTTAACCATTTCATGATTACTCGCATCCATTTGTTGCCTTACAGATTGGAAAGAACTAGCGGTTAATGTGGGCATAACTTGAAGGGGATATCCAAACCCTCCCTGAT